TGTCACTGACCCTTCGTTTGAGTCCACTGCTGCGTCTGCCTTAGTCGCTGAGCTTGTTGACTTTGCTGCTGCTTGTCGTCTCGACTACGCCGCTAGTCTTGTTGCTGAGTCTGAGTTTGTCTGTCTTCCGTCCGTCGGGGGTGATTGTGCTCTTGGCACGGACGTCCTTGAGGACAGGCAGGAGGACTTTGAGTGTCTTGCAGCTGCTGTACCTCATCTCGTGTCCATGCTGTGTGCACCTGAGGGAGACTCGGATGCTCCAGACATCCCGACCCCGCGCTCTTACGCAGAGGCGATTACGAGTTCCTACTCCTCTCAGTGGCAGACAGCCATGGACGCAGCGATGACATCCTGGAAGTCCACAGGAACTTACGTCGACGCAGTTCCCCCTCCTGGGGCAAACATAGTCGATGGCATGTGGATTTTCAGGGTGAAGCGGCCGCCGGGGTCTCCGCCTGTCTTCAAGGCTCGTTACGTTGCACGGGGATTTAGTCAGCGACAGGGAGTTGACTTCTTCCAGACCTTCTCCCCTACCCCGAAGATGACCACTCTTCAGGTGCTGCTGCACGTCGCTGCACGTCGCTGGTCTGCGTGACTACGAGCTTCACTCTCTTGACTTCAGCACAGCTTTCTTACAGGGCAGCCTGCACGAGGAGATCTGGCTGCGCCGCCCACCTGGCTTCACTGGGTCGTTTCCTGCAGGTACCCATTGGAGCCTCCGGCGGCCAGTCTACGGTCTCCGCCTGGCACCTCGTGAGTGGCACGACACACTGAGGATGACACTTGCGGCTCTTGGGTTTGCTCCTTCGACTGCTGACCCGTCGCTGTTTCTGCGCACCGACACTTCGCTGCCGCCATTCTACATCCTCGTGTACGTCGACGACTTGGTCTTTGCCACTGCTGACACTCAGTGACTGGCCCTTGTGAAGTCGGAGCTGCAGAAGAGACACGCGTGTACATGTGAGAATAGTAGCTTGAACAAGGAGCCATAGCTAGGGTTTACCTAGCTAGGCAAGAGAGAGATAGGCAAAAGAGAGGGTTCACTAGCAAACATTGGGATACATATAGCAAACCCTAACAGGGCTGTACTCACTATGGAGTACCCCACTGCAGACTAGAGAAACATAACATGCTGACACACCCCCATAGGCAAAGTGGGGTATAATCAGTACAGCATGCAATCATAAAATAGTTCACAAGCACAAGTAAAGCTAGAGGTAGTCACAGAGGGCATGTGAGGAGGAGGAGGGACTGTGAGAGGAGAGGAGATGGGAGGCGACGGCGGAAGCTGCAGACACACAGGAGCTGCTGGCTCAGTGGCTACCGAAGCAAAGGCCCGGACTACAGGAGTAACTGGCTCCGCGGAGATTGTAGCCTCCTGACAGGACTGGCGACTACCGGAGATTGTAGCCTCCGGACTACTGGCGCTGCTGGCGACACGACGGCTCAACCTCCGTTCAACCTCCCCCAACTGTCCCACCCCCCTTTCACACACCCCTTGCTGCACCCCTAGCTCCACTCCCACGTCACCCCCCTAGCACCACTCCTTCGGCTCCCACACACCCACCCCCCTCAGCGGCAGCTGCAGCAGTGGGAGACGGAGGAGGAGGAGGAGCCGGGGACTACGCACACATCCGTTACCCCCATGCTGGCCACCCCCACACCCGCCATCCCCAAACCCTAAAACGGGCAACACGGGGCAGGAGCGAGAGGGACGGCGCGCGGCCCCCAGGGCGCCACGACGGGCGACGGAATGGGGGGGGCGCGCGGCCCCCGGGGCGCCTCGACGGGCGACGGAATGGGGGGGGACGCGCGGCCCCCCGGGGCGCCTCGACGGGCGACGGGATGGGGGGAACGCGCGGCCCCCCGAGGCGCCTCGACGGGCGACGGAATGGGGGGGACGCGCGGCCCCCCGGGGCACCTCGACGGGCGACGGGATGGGGGGGACGCACGGCCCCCGTGGCGCCGCGACGAGACGACGTGAAGGGGGGGGACGCGCGCCCCCCAGGGCGCCTCGACGGGCGACGGGATGGGGCGCCGCGGGGGCCCCCCGGGGCGCCGCGACGGGCGACAGGATAGGGCGCCACGACGGGCGACGAAACCGCCGCGCGCGCCCGGGGCGCACGGCGGGCAGAAAACCGCCGCGCGCCACGAGCGCACGGCGGGATGAAAAAGTGTCGCGCTCCCGGGACACGCGACCAGCAGAACAGTAGCAGCGGAAGCAGTAGGCGGGCCCACAGGCCAAGAGCGTAACAGCTCTGATACCATGTGAGAATAGTAGCTAGAACAAGGAGCCATAGCTAGGGTTTACCTAGCTAGGCAAGAGAGAGATAGGCAAAAGAGAGGGTTCAATAACAAACATTGGGATACATATAGCAAACCCTAACAGGGCTGTACTCACTATGGAGTACCCCACTGCAGACTAGAGAAACATAACATGCTGACAGCACAGACCTGGGTGAGCTGCGCAGCTATCTTGGCTTGCAGATCACCCGGGACAGAGCACGCCGCACCATCACTCTGACTCAGTCACACATGGTGCAACAGGTCCTTCAGCGCTTCGGCTTCACTTGGTCCTCGCCACAGTCCACTCCTCTGCCTACCAATCACTCCCTCTCAGCTCCACCTTCGGACGAGTCCGTAGAGCCGAGTGGCCCGTATCCAGAGCTTGTGGGCTGCCTCATGTACCTGATGACCTGCACTCGACCTGAACTTGCTTACCCTCTCAGCATTCTGGCACGCTACGTTGCGCCCGGAAGACACCAACCAGAGCACATGGAGGCCGCTAAGCGGGTGTTACGCTACTTGTGCAGTACGTCGGGCATGGGGCTTGTGCTTGGAGGACGGAGTCGAGTTGTTCTCACTGGCCACGCAGTCGCGTCTTGGGTTGACGACTTGGCTACGCAGCGGTCGTCACATGGTTACACTTTTAGCCTTGGCTCCGGTTATGTTTCTTGGCGGTCTACCCGCTCGTCTTCTGTTCTCAGTTCCAGTTGTGAGGCTGAGATCTACGCAGGGGCCATGGCTGCACAGGAGCTACGCTGGCTCACCTACCTGCTGACCGACTTGGGAGAGCCGCCTCGTTCTCCTCCGGTTCTGTACGTAGACAACAAGGCCATGATTGCCTTGTGTCAGGAGCACAGACTGGAGCACAGAACGAAGCACATCGCTCTGCATGACTTCCTTCCTTGACAGTTGTAGCAGCGTGGTCAGCTTCCTCTTGCTTACGTGGCCACTCGGGCCAACACTGCTGATATAGCCACCAAGGCACTTCAGCCTCGTGATCATTAGCGTTTCTGTACTGCCTACTTTGCCTGACTTGCTCACTTCGTGACTTTGCTTGTCCTGTGATCTATATACTTGTACCTGCATGATTACACTTGCTAGGTTATGATCACTGTACTGTTTGTTCTCCGTTATAAAACTCTGCATGTGAACTGGCCTTGTGGCCACTTCCTTATGCTCAGAGTGTGTGGTGACTTCGTGATCCACCCTGAGCTTGCTTTGCTTCTCTTGACTGGTCTTGTGACTCCTTGTTCTCCCCCACTTTGCCTATGGGTGTGTGTCAAATTATAATGCTGCTTATGTTGTGTAGGCTGTAGTGGGGTAGCCTATATGGGGTACAACCCAATTAGGGTTAGTACTTGTACTCAGTTTGATCTCAATGCAATCATTACTGCTCGTTAGTTTCTGACCAGGGGGGGGGGGGGGGTGAGGGGGGATGAGGGGGTGGCGGGGGTGACCAGCAAACCGCCGCATCTGCAGTCCTCTCCTCACTCCAGCAGCCGCCTCTCCCCACCTCTCCTCCTCCGATCTCCTCTCCTCCAGCCGCTTCTTCTCGGCTCTCCGCCTGTGCGCCACCAGCTTCCTCCTCCTATCCAACGGTTGGTGTTAATCACCAACAGCCTACGCCCTCCGGTTATCCCAGCCCTCCTCCGCACTCTCCGTGCTGCCGATCAGCCACCGCTGTTTTTGTGGCTATCCCAACTACAGCAACCGCTCTCTATGCGACCTGGTGCCAGACACCACTAGCTATAGCCGTAGGCAGTTACGGGGGTGTGTTGAATTATATTGCGTATCTTATAACTGCCTAGAGCTTGCTACTTTACTAGTTTAGTTATTCGCATCAACTGTTGGTGGTGTACCCTCCCTTTTGCCCAGTCCTATATCTTGTATCCACTCCATAGTGAAAACACTCTTTGCTCATTTCTCTTTCCATGCTCACTCTCGACACTCCTAGCTAAACCCTAGGTTCCTAAGTCTTGAGTTAAGAGCTTACTTTAAAGCCAGGATCTCAAGTAAGAGAATTGGCCTTCAATTGCAAAACACTTGCAGCGCTTGTTACCCTATTTTTGTAGGCGAATTGACTGGCTGGTTAGGAAAGTGAGCGTGCGGCACACCCACGATTTTGCCCCTAGAGCAAATGCAAAACATTTTGCTGGTACATGAGATTGTTGTGTGTGACGAGAAATTGCAGGCATTGGAGCTTCGTCACCGAACCAGTTTCCGAGCCTTGCTTGGTTCGGACTGAACTTGCGATTTGTCTTTACTTCGCACCCCTCGCTTCACACCTCGTCAGATTGTTCACCTCGCTAACCAATCGCAGCCCAGCTCCCCTCACCAACTGCAAAACAATTGAACTACTTGAGATCCTGGCTTTAACATGGTACCACTCCCCGCTTCGAACTATTTCCAACAATTGTGACAAGACCTGAAAAGAGTTTGCAATGCAGTCGTCATATGGAGATGAGTGAAATGAGACTAGGTGGCAGGTCTGTGGACATGCTGAAGGATAAGATGGGAATGCCTCCTTATTGCATTCCCCTTTTTCCGAATCTTGTCACAATTATTAAATTTAGAAATATATTTCTAAATTATTCATAATTTGAGGCTACAGCTATGGCCATCTTTCCCAAACAGAGCAACAGCAGGTGCTCTGAGCCCTACCTGCAAGACAACTACACCCCCGCACCCTCCCATCCCACACCTCGCCTCGCCGCTCACCCCCTGTGCCTCGAGGCCTCACGTCCACCACTGGAGCTGCTGGAGGGGCTGCCACCTGAGCGCCTCTCAGTGCCTTTCCTCTGAGAAGAACGCCTTTGAGGGGAGCGGGAGTGCGGGGAGCGGGTGCGAGGGACGCGGCGCCCCGGCGAGCGCCGCTCAGGTGACCTCCTCCTTCCCTCACCTCCCTTCTCCCTGCCCTCACCTCCCTTCTCCCTGCCCTCACCTCCCTTCTCCCTGCCCTCACCTCCCTTCTCCCTGACCTCACCTCCCTTCTCCCTGCCCTCACCTGCTTTCTCCCTGCCCTTGTCTCCCCCCGCCCCCCTCTCCCTCCTCGCCTCTTCACCCCTCTCCTCCACACCTTCCTCCTTTACCTCATCCCCTCGATAATCATCTCTCAGCCCCTCCTCCCTTGCTCCACCCTTCCCACCACTCGCCTCCTCTGCATGCTGCTGCTGCACACCACTGCTCTCCTCACCACCCCCTCCACTGCCCTTGCCAGTCCTGTTCTCTTCTTCCAGCCCCTCCCCCTTCCCCTCCCCATCCACACCCGCCTCGTTCAGCGGCTCACCATCAGGGTCTGCTACCTTCTCTTCCTTCACCCGCACTTCACTAGACCCCTCTTTCCTCTCGTCCCTCTCCTCTCCCCCACCCTCAACTGAATTCATCCTCTGATCATCAGAATCAGATCCTGCACCCTTCTCTCCCTTGGTTGCCTTTATGCCTTCCACCACCTCACCTCCGGCCACCACCTCACCTCCTCCCCCCCCTTCACCCCCCCCTGCTTCCCCTCCCCCCACTGCCTGCCCCTCATCACCGCCCTGAGGCAGCATGAGCCTATCAGCTTCCGCCAGGTGGCGCTGCAGCGAGTCGGCCACCAGCTGCTGCACCTCGCGCTCCTGCTGCTGCTGCCACTCCTCCAAGCTCTGCCGGCAACCAGTGGGCGGGATGATGCACGGGCGAGAGGGAGAAGGTAGATGAAAGGGGGAAAGGAGATAAGAGTTGGAAGGGAGGAAAGAAGGAGTCGGCCATCAACTGCTGCACCTCGCGCTCCTGCCGCTGCTGCCACTCTGCCAAGCTCTGCCAAAGCCCAGATGGCGGGTTGGGATGATGGCAGGCAACAGGGGGAGGGGAGGCAAGAGCGGGGGAACGGGAGGCGAGAGGTGAAAGGGAGGCCATCAACTGCTGCACCTCGCGCTCCTGCTGCTGCTGCCACTCCTCCAAGCTCTGCCAAAGCCCGGTTGTGGGGCGATGGCCGGGTGAGAGAGAGCAGGGATGCGTGAGGAGGGAGGGGGAGCAGGGAAATAAAGCGCATGCATAGGAGAATGATAGCAGTGGCACAGTAAGGGCCACAGCAGCAGAACAGTGAGGCAGGTGGACAAAAAGGAGGAGGGAGAGCAAGCAGCAAGCAGGCATGGCAAGGAGGTGGGAAGAGACGAGGAATGCGCACCGGGAAGAGAAGTAACACCATGCCGAAGCACGACGCATGAGGTAGGAGGTTGGGGAGTAAGTATAAGGTTCTAGGAGGTACATGCTAGAAAAAGGATATGGGGTCAGCACCAACACCAGCAGAAGCAGCTGCGGCACCCTGCATGCCACTCCACCCTGCATGCCACTCCACCCTGCATGCCACTCCACCCTGCATGCCACTCCACCCTGCATGCCACTCCACCCTGCATGCCACTCCACCCTGCATGCCACTCCACCCTGCATGCCACTCCACCCTGCATGCCACTCCACCCTGCATGCCACTCCACCCCTGCATGCAACAGCGCTCACCTGCGCCTGTGCCTGCAGTAGCTTGTCAGTGGCTGGCGAGGGGCGAGCGGGCAGGTACATGATGGGTGGCGAGGCCTGCGTGCTGCCCATGAGGGGAAGGAAATAGAGGGGATGCGATGGGCGGATGGGGAGGAGAGGGGGGATGTGGAGGTGGGGAGAGGGGGGCGCAGAGTGGGGGTGGAGGGGGGATGTGGTGTGGAGGGGAGGGTGAGGAGGGGAGGGTGAGAGGACAGAGAGAATAGGGGCAGGCAGATACGTGATGGCGATAACTGCATATAGCGGCGAAGAGGAGACCAAGTGGAGAGAGGATAGAGGGGAAGAACAAGGCAAGGCATGGTGATGAAGGTACAGAAAAGCTTGTGCTGAGAGGCGACAGCGCTCACCTGCCTTGCACAACAGCTTGTGCTGCCACACCACCTTTCATTTACTCTTCCCACCTTCCCTGCGAAGCGAACAGTCTCACGGGATGAAGCGGGAGAGCAGGGAGCGGTGGTGGTGCCAGTGCCGCGCCAGCAGGTGCACCTCCTTCATCCCCACCTTCCACCCTTGTATCTATCCCCCCATCCTTTAAAAGCGGCTCACCGGATGAAGTGCGAGAGCCGAGAGCGGTGGCGCTGCCAGTGGCGTGCCAGCAGGTGCACCTCCTTCTCCTCCGCCTTGGCCATCAGCCGCGCCCTCAGCACCTGATCATGTGCCACGCGCATGGGGCAGGTGAGACGGGCGAGGGGGCAGGCGGGGTGATGCGCGGTGGGGCAGGCGGGGTGATGCGCGGTGGGGCGAGTGATGATAAGGTGGGGCGAGTGATGACAAGGTGGGGCGAGTGATGACAAGGTGGGGCGAGTGATGACAAGGTGGGGCGAGTGATGATAAGGTGGGGCGAGTGATGATAAGGTGGGGCGAGTGATGATAAGGTGAGGCGAGTGATGATAAGGTGGGGCGAGTGATGATAAGGTGGGGCGAGTGATGACAAGGTGGGGCGAGTGATGATAAGGTGGGGCGAGTGATGATAAGGTGGGGCGAGTGATGACAAGGTGGGCAGGTGAGGAGGGCGTGGTGGGTGGGCATGGCGCGGATGAGACATGCAAGAACGGATGAGACATGCAAGAACGGATGAGACATGCAAGAACGGATGAGACATGCAAGAACGGAAGAGACATGCAAGAACGGAAGAGACATGCAAGAACGGAAGAGACGAAAAGCGATGGATGAAAAATACAATAGTAAGGCTGAGATGACGTGTGAGTCACGGATGGGGGCATGTTGAGGCAAGTGGAGTGACAGGATTGGGGAGATGACGTGGCAAATGAAGAGCCGAATACATTTAATGTGCAGAAAGGGCATAAACGGTGCAAGGGGTGTGCATAGAGGGGTGCGCAGATTGCAGAGGGGTACAGAGGGGTGCAGAGGGGTGCAAGGGCATGCACGAGGCCATTGTGGGTGCAGGGGAGAAGAGCGCACGAGGTCTCTCTTGCGCTGCTGCAGAATCCTCTCCCTCTCCTGCTCCTTCAACCGCTCACTCTGCTCCGCCACTCGCTGCTCTGCCTGCTCTTCCAGTCCACCCGTGGAACACAGAGCAGCACACAGAGCAGCACAGAGAGCAGCACACAGAGCAGCACACAGAGCAGCACACAGTGCAGCACGGGAAGAAAAGTAAGACATGTGGTTACGTATGGCCTCATCATCCTTTCCATCGCAACCCTTCCGAAACATCCGTTACAGCACACGTCAAGTAAGCAAGTGACATGGAATCCGCAGCATGCATTGAACAATGCTCCGCTGCGTGCCCATCACCCCCATCACCCCCATCACTCCCATCACCCCCATCACCCCCATCACTCCCATCACCCCCATCACCCCCATCACTCCCATCACCCCCATCACCCCCATCACCTCCATCACCGCCATCACCCCCATCACCCGAGCCATCCCACCTTCTGTTGGATCATCGCCCTCCGCGCCAGCAGCTCTGCATCCCTCTCCTCCTCCTCCCGCGCCCTCTGCCAGCCAGGGGAAAAGATTGAGAGGGGGAAAGGGAGTGTGTCAGCGATGGAGAAGAGAACAACGTAAAACGCAAGGAGTATGCGACTTTTGAGACGTCTCAAAAGGGTGAGAGGGGGAAAGGAGGTGGGTCGGCGAGGGAGAAGAGAACGAAAGAGAGGGCAAGGAGAAGTTGAGAAGAAGGTGAGGTAGGGGACCTTGAAATGCGCGGGACTGTGGAGCGAGTGAGTGAGTAAGTGAGTGAGTGAGTGAGTGAGTGAGTGAGCAGACGCATGCAGCCTTGATTACGTGAAAGAAGAGTGTTTTTGAGACGTCTCAAAAACAATCTTCTTTCACGTGGATCGAAAACCTCACCACCACTCTCATCCATGTGCACCCATCCATGGCACCACCTTGTGAAAAGAGGGAGTTCTTAGACCTCACCACCACTCCCGTTTATCACGTCTCCGAAACTCCTTTTTATCACATCGAAAACCTCACCACCACTCTCATCCATGTGCACCCATGGCACCACCGCGCTCACCTGCAGCGTGCCCACAAGCAGCGTCCCCAGCATGTTGCAGTGGCGGCGACGTGCCACTGGGTCCAGCTGCAGCACTGGGTGGGCGCGGAGGGGCGGGCGCACTCTCTTGTTGCACCCACCCAACCATGCTACCACCTTACTCAAACGCGACCCATTGCAATGCAGCCACTCCCACCTGCAGTGTGCCCACGAGCAGTGCTCCCAACATGTTGCGGTGGCGGCGCCGGGCCACGGGGTCCAGCTGCACCACTGGGCGCGGAGGGGCGGGCGCAGGCTCATGGGCGGGCAGAGGAAGCGCGCCCGGGGAGGATGGGGGCGCGGAGGCAGGTGCAGGCGGAGGGGGAGGAGCGGTGGTGTCTGCGGGCACGTCGTGAGTGGTGCGGCGCGGTTCGATTGGGTCGATGGGCTCCCCGTCCGGCCCCACCTGCATGCAGAGAGTGGCGCAGCAGGGGGTGGCGCAGCAGGGGGTGGCGCAGCAGGGGGGGGCGCAGCAGAGGGTGGCGCAGAAGAGCATGTACGGGGACATGGATGTGTGGATGCTGCTGCCAGCTTACTTTAGTGCCACACACACGTTGTTTATCACCTCCCCTTCCCTTCTCCCTTCTTCCCCCTCCTCACGACCACTCTTCCTCGATACGCATCACTTTACCATCAACTCTCCTTCCCTCCGCTCATCACGCGCACTTTCCCCCCTCTCCCATATTCCCCACCCCCCAATGGCCGTACCCGAGTCACTGCTGACATCAGCCGCCGTCTCTTGGTGCCCCCTGCCACGTCACCGTCCGGCAACGCGGCATCGGACTGCAGTAAGGGGGAAGGGAAGGGAGAAGGCGGGAGAGGTGGGGAAGGGGGGGAGGCGATGAAGGCGGGGAGGGGCGGGGACAGGGGAAGAGGCGGGGAAGGGGGGTAGAGGCGGGGAAGGGGGGGAGAGGCGGGGAAGGGGGGGAGAGGCGGGGAAGGGGGGGAGAGGCGGGGAAGGGGGGAGAGGCGGGGAAGGGGGGTAGAGGCGGGGAAGGGGGGGAGAGGCGGGGAAGGGGGGGAGAGGCGGGGAAGGGGGGGTAGAGGCGGGGAAGGGGGGGAGAGGCGGGGAAGGGGGGGAGAGGCGGGGAAGGGGGGTAGAGGCGGGGAAGGGGGGGAGAGGCGGGGAAGGGGGGGAGAGGCGGGGAAGGGGGGGAGAGGCGGGATGAGGGTATGAGTGCAGCACGGGCGGTGGAATGGATTCATGCGTGCATGGGTTGGGCGACAGGGAGCACACAGGGTGGGCGCACGGGGGCAGGGCAGCACCGCACACAGACAACCAGCCGGGCGGGGACCGGCCAACAGGAACAACGATTCCTCCCCACCCCATCCCACCCCATCCCACCTGTGTGCGCCGCGCGAACGACAGCCCGCCAGCGCGACCGCCGCCGCCGCCTGCGGGGTCGGAGGCGCCTCCGGGGTACGGGAAGCGACGGGGCGCGCGGAGCGACTGTCCGCGGATGGCGGGGGGAGCGGGCGGCAGCGTGCGCCTTATGCTGGGGGGAAGTCGCGAGGTGATTGTGCGCAAACTGTCCTCCACCTGCAGTGCGCGCGGAGGCACGCGCGGGCAGGGGGGAGCGGGGAAGAGGGCGGGCGAGAGGGGCTGATTGGAGGGAGGAATCGACGAGTCAGCGAACGACGGCGCGGGGGTGGCGAAGAGCTGAAACCGCAAGTGGCGAAGAGCTGAAACCGCAAGTGGCGAGCGGGGAAAGGCGCGGCGGGCGGGGGCACGTACGAGCCCGCCCCGACGAGCGCGCGCACCTGCGCCTGCTGCCGTTCGATCTCCTCGATCTCGCGCCGCAGCTCCTCCTCCGACTTCCCGCCGCCCACCGCCACCGCCGATCCCGCCATGGCGCTCGCACCGGCGACGTTTCTTGCGACGGCGATGACTCCTGCGACGGCGGCAATTGCTGCGACGAGTCTTCGGCTGGCGCAACAAGCCTACCTTGACCTGCCGCGACCGGCGCGCAAACAGGCTGTGACACCAGCCGACGTGGCACGGGGAATGGTCCAGCAGAACTCGGCGAAATTGCACGCTTTCACCCGCACGCAGTCTCGCTGTATCATGGGGACTCGAGCTCCACTCCTTCGCATCTCGCGAGGGTCGTAAATTCTGATAATATCTGTAACAATATCTTCAAATTCATATATACTGGTATGCACAAACCAAGCAAAATACTACACTCCATACATTTTACAGACAGCACAGAAGCAGATGCTCTATGGGTAAGGAACCACGTGGGTCACTACCACACTGTCACAGTGCCACCACAGTGCCACCACAGTGCCACACTGCCAGTGCGCCAGAACTAAAACGGGAGCAGCAGCATCAGATGAGGTCGGCGACATTCATGGGCATTTCATCGATCTGTGTGCTGTAGTACTGCTCTATGTCCCTCAGAATACGAATGTCATCACTCCTCACGAAGTTGATCGCCACACCCTGCAGCACCGCCAGTCAGTGCACACGGGGGAAAAGGGGGCACCAAAAAAAGGGGTTGGGATGGCCTGAGAGCGGAAGGAGGGGGGAGATGCAGAGCGAGGGGGGTGACGGACGGGAGAAGTGGGGAAAGAAGCACACGAGCGTGAGGAAAAGGGTGGCATGGTTGCGAGACAGGAACGGCGCCAGCTGTGCAGGGCGGGCCATGGCTGTGCAGGGCAGGCCATGGCTGTGCAGGGTGGGCCATGGCTGTGCAGGGCAGGCCATGGTGGCATTCACCTTTCTGCCGAAACGACCGGAGCGACCGATGCGGTGAATGTAGAGCTCTCTGCTGTTGGGCAGATCGTAGTTGATCACCAGTGACACCTGGGCACGAGGGGCAGGGACGAGGGGGAGCACGGGCAGCATAGGCAAACATCAAGGCGGAGCACATTGGCAGCAGATCTCATGCCTGCGGTGTGTGTTCCCCTCTGCCTGCACTGCACTGCACTGCACTGCACTGCACCGCACTGCACTGCTTGTGGGCATGGTGTGGCGGCCCCTGGCTGATGCCAGCACATGCCACCCACTTGAGCCTCCACCCACCCTCCGGTGCTGCCCCGTGCACCAATGCTAAACCCAGGCAGCAGGCAACAACTTTTCCCCTCAACACCCCCCCCAACTCTCCTCCCCTTCCCCCCCCAACCACCCACCCCCCGCTCTCCCTCCCCCCACTCCCCACCTCCCCTCGTCCTTTCCTCCCAATTACGCCAGCCCCACCTGTTGCACGTCAATGCCTCTAGCCCACACGTCAGTGGTGATGAGCACGCGTGTGGTGCCGGCGCGGAACTCAGTCATGATGGCGTCGCGCTCCTTCTGGGGCATGTCGCCGTGCATGGCGGACACGGTGAAGTTGTTGGCTCGCATCTTCTCCGTCAGCCAGTCCACCTTGCGCTTCGTGTTGCAGAAGATCACCGCCTGGTGGGGGGAAGGGGAAGGTGGGGGGGGGAGGGGGAAGTGAAGAGGTGCGAGTGGGGATGCAGGAAGGTGTGATGTGAGGGTGGGAATTTGGGGCGCATCTTCTCCGTCAGCCAGTCCACCTTGCGCTTCGTGTTGCAGAAAATCACCGCCTGGTGGGGGGGAGGGGGGAAGAAGGGCACATGGTGCGGTGGGGTGGGTGGGCATGAGGGGAATTTTGTGCCAGGCACCGCAGTGCAGTGCACCCCACAAGAGGCACACCAAGCGGGTGGGGGAGGGAAGGGGTGAGGGGCGTGGGGAGGTGGGGAAGTGGGGGGTGGCGGAGAGCAGACGGTGTAAGGGGAGTAATAATGTTCTTGGAATGGAGAAATGTTTTGGCGTGAGCGGGAGAGCGTGGGAGAGAGGGAGAGGCAAGCAGAAAGAGGGTCACGTGCGAATGGCAGAGTGGCAGGGCCAAGTGACAAAAAACAATGGATGATGGTGAGTGCGGCACGTGCCCTGGGTGATGGAGAGTGTGGCAAGCACGTGCCTGGGTGATGGAGAGTGTGGCAAGCACGTGCCTGGGTGATGGAGAGTGTGGCAAGCACGTGCCTGGGTGATGGTGAGTGTGGCATGATGCACCCTAAACCCTAAACCGTGAACCCTGCACGTGCCTGGGTGATGGTGAGCGTGTCATAGAGATCGCAGAGCGTGTCAAACTTCCACTCCTCGCGCTCCACCGCCACAAAGAATTGCTTGATGCCCTGCCAGCCATGGGGGGGGGGGGGGGGCAGTGAGGCCATAGTGGGGGGAGGGAGTGGAAGGGGGGCAGAGAGGGTATCGGTTAGCAGAGAGCCAGGGTGAAGAGCGTGAAAGAGTGGGCACATGGGCATGCGGGCGCTCACAGTGCATCTCCATCTGTATTCCACCAGGCCCCACTGCAACACACAGTGCACACTGCCATCCCTCCACACTGCCATCCCTCCACACTGCCATCCCTCCACACTGCCATCCCTCCACACGCCTCTTCCACGTCGAGCGTGAACCCCTTTACCCCCCTCCCCCCCCCTCTCTTCCCACACCTAGAACGTGAGCTTGTCTCAACCACCACCCTCCTTTTCTCCCTTGCGCATGAATCCCTCCTCCCAACTTACCTCGAGTGTGAGCTCATCACGCTTGACAAGAATGCGCACGGGGTCAGTCATGAACTTGTTGGTCATCTCCAGTATCTCGTGGGGGAGCGTGGCTGACACCAGCACCACCTGTGCGGGGAAGGGAAAGGGAGTGGGGGTGGAAAAAGGGGGAGTGGGGGGAGGAGAGGGAGGAGGAGAGGGGAGAAGGGGCATGGTGGGGGGAGGCGGTCAGTCATGAACTTGTTGATCATCTCCAGTATCTCGTGGGGGAGCGTGGCTGACACCAGCACCACCTGCATGGCGAGGCGGTAAGGAGGAGGGGTGGGGGGGGGCGGGGGGTAGAGGGAGGGGAGGGGAGAGGGGGCATGGTGGGCGTGAGGGGGAGTGGTGGAGTGAAGTGGGCGGCGACGAGCACGAGGGAGGTGAGCCTTGGCAGGTGGAAAGCGGGAGAGGGGGAAGCAGGGCGGAGAGAATGGGGAACGAACCTGCGGGGAGGTGAGGTGAGATGCAAAGGGCAGCGAGTGGTGCTCGTGAGTGTGTGAAAAGGCAGAGCAGAATCGAAAAGTCTGGGGATATGAGCAAGGTTCAAAATTACGGTTTTCGTAAAATACGGTCCGTTTTTTACGGTCGTTTTGTACGGTATTTAAAAAAAAAAACGGCCGTTTTTTTGTTAGAAAACTCTGTTCACCAAGAAAAAAAATAGAAAAACAAGGTCAAAAACATTTTCAATCATGCCAACAAGCGCATACATGCAAGAAGGGGTCCATCCCCTTCATGCTGCTGCATTTCGGGTTCAATTTGGTCCCACTAAGTGGCCGCTTTGTTAGTTATAGAGGAAACACCTCCTGGAACCGTTTTAAACCGTTTTTTACGACCGTTTTTTACGGTAAAATTTCAATAAAACGGTCGTTTTTTTTAACCCTGGATATGAGAGGGTGAAGAGGCAAACCGATTGCCTTGGCCTGATCACCCCAAGAGGCAAACCGATTGCCTTGGCCTGATCACCCCAAGCCCGTCTGCAGCTCTGGCGGCAGCCTCAAGGCAGGCAGCGCACCTGAGGCTGCGGTCAAGCCCAGCTGCACCTCTGCTGTGGTGTGGCACGAAGCAGCAGCGCACGCAACGCACCTGCAGCTCTGGCGGGAGGTAGCGGTAGATGTCGTAGATCTGGTCCTTAAAGCCCATGTTGAGCATCTCGTCCGACTCGTCCTGCACTCCACCGCACCACGCCACCACAGCCCAGAGGCGGACAGTGTGAGACGACATGGGCAGGCAGGGGGGGGGACAAAGTACAAGGAAGCGTGTCCATCAGCACACATAAGGGACGCAAGAGGAGAAGGGGCAGGAGGAGGGGGGGCGGGAGGAGAAGGGGCAGGAGGAGGAGGGGGGGCAGGAGGAGAAGGGGCAGGAGGAGAAGGGGCAGGAGGAGAAGGCGGCGCACCAAAATGAGGAGTTTGATGGCTCGTGTGCGCAGGCTGCGGCGCTTGATCATGTCGTACACTCGCCCTGGCGTGCCCGATACCACCTGCGCGTTGCATCATGCCCGCACCAACGCATGGCCCCCACACACATGATCACGCCCACGCACATGCACAAACGGGAGGAAGGAGTGTGACGAGATGGTGGAGCAGCAATGGGAGTGCGCGGAGGGGAGTGCGGGGAGGGGACTGCGGGGAGGGGACTGCGTGTAGGGGAGTGCAGGGAGGGGAGTGCAGGGAGGGGAGCGCGGGGAGCGCAGGGAGGAGAGTGCGGGTAGGGACGCGCGAATAAGAGCGTGCGCAGGGAGGGAGGCATGTGAGCCGCGCGGCCGCTAAACGCAACTCTTTCTCACGAGACCCGCCAGACAGAGCCACCACAACTCCACCTCCAATCCACTCAACAGCTCGCCTCTGCGCGCTACAATCCAGTCCGCGCTACCTCACTCGCCTGCCTGTGGCTTCCAGCTGCGCGCCGCTGACCTTCCCCTCACCTCCCCCGCGCCGCCACCTGCAGCTCGGATGCGCGTCGCACCTGCACGCCGAACTCGAGCTTGCGGATGTCCTCGCCGATGGAGCGGCCGCCGATGCAGGCGTAGGCCTGCACGTTCATGAAGTCGCCCACCGCCAGCACCGTCTTCTCCGTCTGCACCGCCAGCTCGCGCGTCGGCGAGAGGATTAGCGCCTGCGTCCTGCGATCGCAAGCGGGCGTGTTGAGGGGACGGAGAGGGGGTGTGAAGGGGCGAGAGCGCGCTGAGAGAAGCACTGTGACACACCGAGGTGCGTACAAGGCGCGGAGAAGCACACGAGATACAGACGAGCACGAGATACAGACGAGCACGAGATCTCATTCGCTGCTTCACAATTGAGCCCTGCATGGCCTGCCGTCTTTGCTCAGCGCGGCGCGGCATGGTGCGGCGACACACTCTCTGGAGCTCGTGTCGACGACTTGGCAGACTGCAAGGCCGAACATGCTCGTCTTGCCCGTGCCGGACTGGTTTTGAGCTGGCGACTCACTAGCTGACGCTCATATCGACTCACTCTTTCGAGCTGGCCACTCACTCTCTAGAGCTCGTATCGACGACTTGGCACACAGCGAGGCCGATCATGCTCGTCTTGCCCGTGCCGGACTGCGCCTGCGCGATGACGTCACGGCCGGCAATAATCGGCTTGATGGCGCGCTGCTGGATGGCGGACGGCTTCTCGAAGCCGAACGCGTAGATTCCGCGAAGCAGGTCCTCGCGGATGCCCATCTGCTCGAAGGAGGAGAGCACCTGCACGCCCTTGCTCGTCTCGAACACCAGGCTCTCGTCGCCCGCCAGCTGCTCGCCGCCTCCGCCGCCGCCGCGCGCTGCCGCCATGGCGGAAGGGCGGTGTGTTTGGTAAGGAGGTGTAGTGTGGTGTGGTGCGAGACGAACGCGTGTGACGTGCTGTGAGTGCTGCTAAGACCAAGGGAGGAATGGAGTGGTCGCGTCGCAATGGGAAACCCTTGGGAGCGAGACGCGGGGAATGTCGAGAACGTGAAAAAGAATCGGCTCAAGAAGGGAGTGAGGTCAAATGAACTCTTAGGGTTTTCCTGGGACCAAAGGGCATCCTCGATGTTAGACCGCAAAACTCTCTATTTAACGAGAAGATGATCAGAACTCGCAAGAATAGAGAACTAAGATAATAGACCAATTAGGATGACAAGATCTGCTAAAAATCCGTGCCTGTCCTATTTCAATAGGATGAATGATGCTGGTGTTGGATTGAGAATTTTGATGGACCTTCCTCCGCATTCTATGTTAGAGTTAGCATTACAGGTAGCACCTATACTCATTGACTTCCATCTTCGCAACACTAGTCTAAGGTGATCTACCGTACAGCAGAGAGAGCCCATTAAATACATCTGGGCACATACCAAACAAATCACTGAACGGCGGCACTCCCACTTGCTGCCCATCCGAGCACTGGTGCGGCTGCGGGGGGTGCTGGTAGCACGGCTCCAACGGGGCCGGCTGGCAGCCCTGAGAGACAAAAAACGCCGGCCGGCCAAAGAGCGAGGAGAGGAGGTACCCAAATGTAGAGGTGGGGAAGATGAGAATGGCGTCAGAGGCGAGCGCGAGGGTGTAGATGTCGATGATGGCGTGCTGCACCTCGGCGTCTAGCCCGGTTTGAGCTGTCTCTGTGGTGAGCCGGTCGAGAGAGAAGGTGCCGTTGCTGATTATGCTGCTGTTGGTGATGTCGCTGCTGCTGGCGGGGATGCTGATCACTGTGCTTGATGGGGTGAGATCTGGTGTAGCCGCGCTGCTGCTGCTGTTGATGTTGGTGGTGGTTTCTGTGCTTGTGGTGATTGCAGTGGTGCTGCTGGGGTCCTTTGCAGGAGAGTCTGTCTGAGTGCTGTTGTTCGCGCCGGTGCTGCTGTCACTGGTGTCATTGTTGCTGCTGTCCGTGACGATAACCTTGGTGTATGTGAGGGCAGAAGAAGCAGCATTGGAAAAGAGCAGCAGCGAGAGGTTGTAGGGAGCATACTCGTAGAGAGCAGCAATGAGCACAACGGTTGAGCTGCTCGACCCCCTCACACCGCCTCCACTCTCACCCGTGCTGCCACTGCCTTCCGGAGCAGCAGCAGCACCAGCAGCTGCAGCGGCGGCGGCGGCAGCAGTAGCAGGTGCGCCCCCCTCTTGTAAAGCGAGAGCAACCGCAACGGCAGCAAAAGTCCCTTCCTCCGACGCCACACCCATACCATATGCCGTCGTCGCCTCACCCGTCCCTGCTGCTGCTGCTGCTGCTGCTGCTGCTACTGCTTCCCCACTGCCCCCCGCTGCACCACCCTCACCTGCTCCCCCCACGCCTCCCACCGCCCCCACCCCACCAGGCTCCCCTCCCGCCTCCCTCTCCCCCTCCCGTTTCTCCCTCTCTCTTCTCGCCTCCGCCACAGCATCCCCCTGCGCCACCTGCACCACGCATTCTGCCGCCTGCGATATAATATCCGCGCTGCAGTGCCGCAGCTGCAGCCCCACCCGGGCGGCGGCCGGCGCCGCCCGGCGGTGAATGTTGTCGGTTATGGCCGCCCAGAGGCGGTTGTTGGGAAACATGATGAGCTGGGAGACGGTCTGGAAGATGCGGCCCGAGGGGAAGAGGTCTTGTATGTGGCGGCGGAAGGAGGGGTGGTGGAAGAGCGAGGGCAGGAAGAACTGGTTTGCCAGGAGTAGGAGTGACGGCACGCGCGTCAGCCACTGCTGCTCTGAAGGGCAGAAGAAGAGGCTCGTGTTCTGCTCCGTGTGGTGTAGGCTCACCTGCGCGCTGGGGGTGGGGGTGGGAGTTGGGGAGGGAGGTTTAGAGTCATCCAAGGTGAAAAAATACATGCTCCTGTTCTGCACTGTGTGGTGTAGGCTCACCTGTGCGTTGCCGGGGTGGAGATGGGGAGCGGGTCGGACGTGCACGGGCGTGGGAGCAGGAATGGGATGAGAAGATGAGAAGATGAGAAGGAAATTGGATGGTGGTGAGGTGATGCGGAAGGCATCGACGGCATTCACATGTGTCTGGGCTCACATGTTAGGAACGTCCATGGTGTCACTGGTGCCGTTCTCAATGGCCGCCACTCGATCGGGGAAGTACTGATAAGCGATGCGCATGCCCACCAGCGTCGCATCCCACCGTTCGTTCGGCACATCCGAGTAGACGAACCACGGCGCGCCCTCGAACGGCTGGCACATCAGCTTCGCCGGTCCCATCCCCGTTAAGAGCAGAAACACGCGGTTCGTTAGCAGCGCGTACACAAGCGCGGATACGAGCGAGATGAACTGGTTACCCTGCCCGTCGCCGGGTTTGAAGTGCCAGAGCAGGTATCTGCACTCCGTCGCGTTCCCCGCGCGCAGCTTTGTTTTTAAAGACGTGATGTTTTCCTTCGCGTCGCACTCGCGCCGGTACTCGTGGTACGCGCGTAGTTTGCGCTTGAGAGTTTCGGAGCGCGCGGCCATGCCGCGGATCCCCGCGTAGCACGGCATCTCCGCCTTGCTCCAGCACAGGTGCGCCGGGCGCTGGTAGCGATGCGTGTGATCCCCCCCGAAGCGCGAGAGCGGCGAGAGAAGCGGGTCCGACGAGTCGCACTCTGGAAAGCGGGGGGAGGCGCGCGGGAAAGGGAAACCAGGAGGGACGGGGAAGGGGGGAAGGGTAAGGAGGAAGAGGAGGAAAGTACGCGAGGAATTGGGGTGGCTGATGTTCGTGCAAGCGGTTGGTACATCCTAAAACTGCTGGAGGAACGAGAGACGCGCGAGCGATGCGAGCAATCCTGTATTTGGCACGGACAGGTGGCGGGAGGCGATTGGAATGTGCAACCGATCCACACCGTGCAGCGCCGGAGCGTCGGTGGACGGCGCGACTGGACGAACGAGTCCCATGACGATCACCGCCAATAGCGACAGCAGCGCCGCGCCATGGTGGCTCCGCGCGCGAAACGCGCCGGCGCCGCCATGGACTCGCGAGGGGGGCATTTAGCGCGCAGGGGGCAGGCTGAAGCGACGGAATGGATGCGCAGAGGATGCGCGGGTCATTCAGCGGAGACGGAGCAGGCTTTAGCGGCGGGAGGGATGCGGAAACGGGTGCACCCGATCGACGAAGGCACGCTTGATGTGAAGATTAGGACGTCGTGTTGAAAGGTAAGTTCGCGTCATAGGCGTCGGAGGTGCGGGGTGGGTGGGGGAGTTGAGATGGTTTGATGGGATGGGATTGTTGCTGCATTTGTGGGACGATGGCGAGGCGATCAGAGTGGAGGTAACTGATGTTACCTGACGAAGCGGGTGTTAGGCGAACTTTTGGAACTCGATTGTTACACATGCTCAACTATGTCCGTGAAAGAAATCCCTACGGTACACCGTCATCACGCACAACCCGAACTCTTCTAGGAAGTACCCATCTCCCGTAGCCCCAGGGAATCCGCCCAGTCACACGGACAACCTAACGTACTCACTTGATCTCGACATAATCTAGTGATCTCACTCAATCAGGCCCATCAGTTCTAGTTTTTTTCCGATCTCGCTCGTCGCCATGTCGGCCGCGCGGCAGCGACTGTCCGCTGCCATCCAGTCAAACCGCCGCTTGATTCGCGCACTTGCTCGCCCCAACGATCAGGTGATTCCACCCGCTTATCAGGTGATTCCACCCGCTTATCAGGTGATTCCACCCGCTTGTCAGGTGATTCCACCCGCTTATCAGATAATTCCACCGGCCGATCAGGCGAGAGTGGCGAGGCAACGCGTGTGTGGTGTGGGGTTTGGGATGGTGAGGAGGGAGAGGGGAGGTACGTGGATCCATGTTGCGGGGGGCACTCCCGCCACCCACTCGTCGCCACCCATCCCGCCACTCATTCCCAGCCCTAATCCCCTCGTTCGTGCAGATCTCGAGGTCGATTGCCCCTCTGCCCTCTGCCACCGCCACCACTCCCGCGCCGTCGCACACACCACAGGCATCGCCGGCATCGCAATCGACGCATACATGGCAGGCGTCGCGGGCATCGCATGCGTGCTGCAGCAGCACCCATGCGCACATACACTCCAGCAGCGTGGCTGCAGCAGCGGCGGGTGGCGGGCGGACGAGGCAGGCGATGCAGGCGAGGGTGAGGTGAGTGGAGGGCGGCTGAGTGGCCATGGAAGAGGGTGAGGATAGCCATTTGCCACTGAGGGCTGGCCTAGAGTGAAGATTGCCCTTGACTGTTTGGCTTCCTGGGGAGAAGGGCACGAGAGAGCAGTGAGTGCGCACTCGCTGCTGCTCATTCCTCGCCCTCCTCACCTCCACCTCCTCACCTCCACCTCATCCACACCACACCATCACTGACCTCGATTGCTTCTCGTTCCTGGTTCAACTCCTCTGCTTCTAGGTGACTTTTGAGTCGACTCAAAAGTCTTCTCTGCTTCTCCTCTTGCCCCCCTCTCTCCCTCCATCCGCCCCGCGCCAGCGAGTGTGAGGTGCGAGCGCCGCTAAGGCCTGGCGGGCACAGCATGGAGCACCTCAGATGCTTCACCACGCCTGCAGGTGCGCTGCCCTCTCTGTGTGCTTCGACCCTCTTTATGCGCACGCGTGGCACGTGCGTGAGGTTGTGCGTGCGTGCATGCGTGAGGTTGTGCGTGCGTGCATGCGTGCGTGCGTGCGTGCGTGCGTCCGTGCGTGCGTGGGTGGGTGGGTGGGTGTTGGATGTCAGACTCGCAAAAAGCAGTGGCTGATTGGGTCTGCAGTGATTGTAATCACCATCGCTTGCATCCACTGACTCTAGGGTCAAGATTGCTGGTCACCAATGTTTTTACTCCAGCCAGCATCCCATCTGTGGCCAAACAAAATATGCAGGTCAAACCAATTTGACGCGTCCAGCGTCGAGACACTTGACACTTGAGAATTCGAGCATTAGGTGCAACATAGTCCACCGCATTGTATCATGTTGCTGTATCTTGTTTGCCATCCTTCCATTCCCATGGGGTGTGTGTGTGGCATCCCTGGGTGCATGCATGGCAGCTCTGGCGTCGGCATGGGGTTCAGCACCAAGGCCAGCAGCGGCATCTGAAGCACCCTCTGCGCCTGCCTCGCACTCCACACCCGATGACGCAGAAGAGAGGTACTGTCGAGGCGATGATACGGCTGTCCTTGTGTCCTCACCTCACGCAATAGCCTGCAGTCTCCTGTAGTTTTCCTGCCTGTCCATTCGTCTCATTGCGTTTGCATGCATGCGTGTGTGCCCCCTGTGCGTGCCGCCCTGCATGCTGCCCACACCTGCCGTGCACGGGCTGGGGTGCATGCTGTGCAGCATCGAGGTGACGTTTGTGCAGAGGGACGGCAGCGAGGCGGTGGTGCACGTGCCGCTGGGCACCAACATGCTGCAGGCCGCACATGACAACGATATCGACCTTGAAGGTGCCCCTCCCTCCCTGCTCCCGCCTTGAAGGTGCCCCTCCCTCCCTGCTCCCACCTTGAAGGTGCCCCTCCCTGCTCCCGCCTTGAAGTTGCCCCTCCCTCCCTGCTCCCGCCTTGAAGGTGCCTCTCCCTGCTCCCGCCTTGAAGGTGCCCCTCCCTGCGCCCGCCTTGAAGGTGCCCCTCCTTGCTCTCACCTTCACCACAAAGCCCCCACATACAAAGCATCTCAACATTATAACTATAATGTGTAGGCTATAGTGGGGCATGCTCTATGGGGTACAACAGTTTAGGGTTTCACATTTGTATCTCACTATTGCCTAATCAATCTCATTCCGCTGTTGTATATTTTTTAACATGGTATCAGAGCAAAGGTCTTGGGTTCGAATCTCCGTGTACGCACATGCTGTCGAATGCGCTGTGTCGTGTTCCGAGCATCCCTGTGTAAAGCTGGTGTCGGGCACTGGGGATCTCCGATTGATCCTAGGAAGGGTTACAGACATGTTAGCCGGGAGGTTATGAGCGCACTGAACCGCAACTGAAATAAGTCTTTTTATTCCAGTGGTCTAGTGATTGAGACTTTGACATGGCACACCTCCTTGCATCGATATAAACTGACACAAATCAATTGAGCCCCAGTTGTTCACACTTGAGAGCCATGTGTGTGAGCGTTATTTCTTCCACCTTCATCTTCTTGCCTGCCTGCCGTGTGTGCTGCCCGTGCTATGTTCGTGCCAGGTGCATGCGAAGCATCACTCGCCTGCTCCACCTGCCACGTCATCGTCATGGTTTGTTGTCACTCCAGTGTCCGTGCCATCCACATGCCCGTGCCATCCACATGCCCGTGCCATCCAGATACCGTCCTGGTTCATGATTAGGAAGCCATGCATCGTCTATGCATGCCATTCATCATCCACACATGCCATTCATCATCCACACATGCCATTCATCATCCACACATGCCAGTCATCAACCACACATGCCATTCATCATCCACACATGCCAGTCATCATCCACACATGTCATTCATCATCCACATATGCCATTCACCATCCACACATGCCATTCATCATCCACACATGCCATTCATCATCCACACATGCCAGTCATCATCCACACATGCCATTCATCATCCACACATGCCATTCATCGTCCATGCATGCCATTCATCATCCATGCGTGCATGCAACGCTGCCATGCGGTTTGGGCAGGACGGGGAGCAGTACGGCAAGATGCCTGAGCCACTCATTCCATTTATTCTCCATGCATGATTACATGCAATGCGGCCATGCCATGCCATGCGGGGTGGGCAGGACGAGGAGCAGTACAGCAAGATGCCCGAGCCAACGGACGAGGAGAACGACATGCTCGACCTCGCCTTCGGCCTCACAGAGACGTGAGTCCTCCCCACTGCATCCATTCCACGTGAAGCCTCTGCATCTACTGTATCTATACGGTTCCTCCTGCACTGCGTACCTCTTCTTGCACTGAACCCGCTGTGAGCTCACCTCACCGCGCCCACCTGCTCGTGTGTGCTTGTGTGGCCGTAGGTCGCGCCTTGGCTGTCAGATCATAGCGGCCAGGGAGCTGGATGGCTTGCACCTGCTGCTGCCCGCAGCCACTGAGGACGTGCGCATCTCCCGTCTCTCCCTCACCCCTACTGCCCCTGCTAACCCTGCCGTCCCTGCTATCCCTGATACCCCTGCCACCCCTGCCGCCCTTGCCGCACCTGCCACCCCTGCTGCCCCTGCCGCCCCCGCCACCCCTGCCGCTGGTACCGCTGCTGCTGCGGCTGCTGCACGTGGCTCCTCCACAGGTCGCGCCTGGGGTGCCAAGTGATAGCCACCAAGGACCTGAACGGGCTGCGCCTCAAGCTGCCCTCCGCCACTCGCAACTTTGCCGTCGATGGCTTTGTGCCCAAGCCTCATTGACCACTTCTTCGTCCCCCTCATTGACGAGTGGTAGAAAACCCCGTGGGGGGGCATTGTAGTTCGTTGTGTGGTTGCAATAGGAGTTCAGATGCTTAGTAGACGACGAACTTTGGTCGGTGGTAGTCCTTATCAGAATCCGTAGAACGGAATGAGTGTACCGTAACTACGGTAGCAAGAGATGGGTGCATAGCATATGGCAAACCTTAGAAAGTATTGTATTCTATACAATACACCTCCCTGTAGCCTGACAAACCTAACACTAATACGAATATAGTTTGACACACCCCCATAGGCTAGGTGAGACGTCGATGAGCCTTCTCCCATAGGTGCTGCACGGTGGTGACGAAGTCGTGAATGGCTTGGACGTGTACCGGTGTGGATGGCTGCTGCGGGGTAAGTGGCTCTGTCTGTCCGTCAGTCGGGGGGTGGTACCGTCAGCCCCCGGATAGAAGCGCCCCTAGGGTTATAAAAAAACACGTTTTTTTAGGGGGTGGGCTTATAATCGAGGATTTTTATAAGCGCCGGTGCTTATATAATAGCATATATGAAATTCTTCGTTTTTACACCAAACTGTAGATCCCGTTCTCGCGAATTGAATCGAGTCGAAACTATACAGGGTTGCGATTGAGAATATCGCGTGCAAGTTGGCAGGGATTGATTCCCTGCCAACACACACAGTCAGAATGAGTCGACGTGCGCCCCTGACAGCTCATTCTGACTGGACGCGCTGGCAGTGAGCCGAGCGAGGGTGAAGGGAATCGAAATTCAAACTGTGGGAATGGAGATGTTGAGTTTCGTTACAACGAATTCAGTAAACTCATAGTTAGAAAAAAAGTGGCGCTTATAATCCGTAAGCCTTCAGGGATGCGCTTATAATCGAGGACCGGATATAAGCGCCCTCATCCTTTTATAAGCGCCGGCGCTTATCCGAGGCCTGCGCTTCTATCCGGGGGCTTACGGTATGCTGAAGACATCGCAAGCTTAGTCCCCCCAGTCCCATGAGCTCCTTCCAGAACTTACTCGTGAATTTGGGGTTTCTGTCTGAGATGAGTGTAGTGGGGATGCCGTGGATGGTAATGATGCGGTCGAAGAAGAGGCGAGTAGTTGCTTCAGCTGTAGCTGTGGCGTTGGTCGGAATGAGTGACCCATTTAAAAGAACTTGGTCGATCACCACGAGTATAGCGTCATGCCCTCTTGAGGTCGAAGGAAGTCCTGTGATGAAGTCGAGGCTAACGACCTGCTATAGCTGCTCCGGTACGGGTAGAGGCTAAAATAACCCTGCTTTTTTATGCTTTCTACTCTTCATATGCTGGCACGTGTTGCATGAGGTGACGAATTGCTACACGTCTTCTGTCACCGGGGGCCAGTAATAATATTTCGCTATCCCTACTAACGTCTTGTTGCTCCCGAAATGTCCCGCGTATGATATGTCGTGAAACTCCTCCAGTAGAAACAGTCGGAGCGGGGCATAGTTCCGTACCGAAAATTTTCCCAAACCTTTCCTTACAGCTATGTCTTTCTCCCACTATAAAAGTTTCTTTTTCTGTGCTGTAGCGATCTCTGCGTCCACGGAGTACCCATGTGGAAATAGACCCTTGAGCAGAGGGTTCATTTCGTCGAGCTGGATGCCTGCTACATGTTATGGACGGCTCAACGCGTCTGCTTTGTTGTGCAGCCCGGGTTTGTAGACGATGTCGTAGTGAAAGTGAGTCTCCAAAAAATCCACCCACTGCACCTGTTGTCGCGAGAGTGTCGACAGTGACTCGAGGTATTTGAGACTGCAGTGGTGGGTGTAGACTGTAGTCTTGGCTCCCTCTGGGTAACACCTCCACGCCTTGAAGGCTATAACAATCGCTAGGGCTTCCTTGTCGTGGATTGAGTAATTCAGTTCTACCCTGTGTAGCTTCTTACTGAAATAGGCAATGGCTGCAAACCACGTCCGTGATCCTGCATCAGTAGTGCTCCGACTGCCTGGTCGCTAGCGTCTGCTTCCACCACGTAATCTCTGTCTGGATCTGGATAAGTACTGGCGCTGTAGTTAGTGTTGTCTGTAGTTGCTCCATGGCTTGCTGTTGGGAAGTATCCTATTTGTAGGGCGTATTCATTTTCAGTAAGTTCCTTAGTAGCGCTGCTAGCTTCGCGTACTGTGGCACGAACCTGTTGTAGTAGTTGGCAATGCCTAGGAACTACTGTAACTCCTTCGTGTTCTCTAGTATTTTCCACGTCTTGAAAGCTTCGTTTTTCCGCGGGTCGACGTGTACGCTTTCGGCACTCTCCATGTGCCCGAGAAACTGCACCTTCTTTAGGGCGAAGTCGCTCTTTGACAGCTTCACGTAGAACTTAGTTTTTCGCACGATCTCGAAAACTCTCGGCAAATGCTCCACGTGCTGCTTCATATTTTTGGAGTAGATGAGAATATCGTCCAGGTACACCACCATGCACTCGTCCAGTAGGGGCCGTAGGATGTGATTCATCTCTGCCTGGAACATCGTTGGTACGTTGCAACGACATTACTAAGTATTTGTAGGAGCCGTATTTTGTACGGATTGCCGTCTTGTGGATCGAGTTGTCCGCCATCTTGATGTGCCAGTAACGTGACCGTAGGTCCAGATTCGATAATGCTCTTGCACCACGTGGTTTGTCTAGAAGATCGTATATGCGCGGTATGAGATATTTGTTCCTGACTATCCGTTTGTTAAATGCGCGGTAGTCGATGCACATCCGTAAACTACCATCTGGCTTTGGAGTGAAGAGAACCGGTGCACAGTAGGGAGAGGAGGATGGGCGGATCAGTTGCCTGTCCACTAGGTGTTCGATCTCTTTCTTCATGTCTGACATTTTGGTCGGACTAAGACGGTATGTTGCACGTGAGACGTGTTTCGCACCTGGTTTTTCCACGGTCTTGTGCTCGTAGGTTCGTGCTAGAGGCACTCCTGCAGGTAGGTCGTCCGGCTGTCAAATGATATGTATGTTATATATGTCTAGGCCGTAGTGGGGTAGCCAATATGGGGTATAGCCCCTCTAGGGTTTCACATTTGTACCCAACTCTGTTCTAGTCCATTTCATTCCTGCCTAGACTTCTGACATGGTAATCAGAGCAGTAGGTCCGTATGACCGTCTTTTTTTCGGGCCCACCTACCGCTACCCCACGACTGTGACTGTGACTGTGCCTGTGACGTGCTGCGCTGCGCGCACTGTCTGCCTGCTGCCTGCTGTCTGCTGTCTGCGCTGTCTGCTGCTGCTTCACGCGCGCAGACCTAATTTTCGCGCGCTGCCCGCTTTTGCCCCGCGCGTCGCCCTCCCTGCTCGCGTCGCGCCTCGGCATCCGCGTCGCACCCCGCGCATTGCCCGCGCAGCCCGCGCCGAGCCCGCGCAGCGTGCGCGCGGCCTGCAGCTACCCCGCGCACCGCCCGCGCAGCCCGCGCCAAGCCTGCGCAGCGCGCGCGCGGCCCGCAACTGCCCCGCGCACCGCCCGCGCAGCCCGCGCGCGGCTCGCAGCTGCCCGCGCAGCCTGCGCCGCGCCCCGCAGCTGCCCGCGCACCGCCAGCGCAGCCCGCGCCGCGCCCGCGCAGCCCGCGCCGCGCCTTGACAGCCCGCGCGCGGCCCGCCGCGGCCCCGCGCGCCGCCCTACCTGCTCGCGCCGCGCCTCTGCAGCCTGCGCGCGGCCTGCTGCTGCCCCGCGCGCTGCCTAAGCTGCCTGCTGCCTACTGTCTGTTGCCTTTGCCTGCTGTCTTTGCCTGCTGCCTGCGCCTACTGCCTTTGCCTGCACTGCGATTATGGCGACGCTTAATGTTCTCGCGTTTGAGCCTGACGGTCGCCCGATAGAGTTCGCCACGTGGCTCGACGATCTCCAACTGTTTCTTATGACTGATGCCAAAGACGGCGTTTCACTGTTTGATCACGCGTCTGGCACTGCCGTTGCTCTTGCTGACACTGCTCCTGCTCTCGACCGCTCACAGTGGCAGACTCGCGATGCTGCTGCGCACCTAGCTATTCGCAATCATCTGCCGATCACTGAGCGCGCGCATTTCAGCCAGCACAAGAATGCTAAGGCACTGTATGCCGCTGTAGTTGCGCGCTACTCCTCCCCGGCCACTGCAGCCCTAGGTCGGCTCATGCTACCCTACTTGTTCCCTGACCTGTCCTCGTTTACCACTGCTGAGGACCTCATTTCTCACATTCGCACTAGTGACACTTGCTTTCGTGCCGCCCTTCCAGCCGAGTTCTGCGCCGAGAACCCCCCCCCCCCCCCCCCCCCCCCCCCCCCTGATGTACTTCACTCTCTATTTCCTCGTCACCCGCCTCCCTGACACTCTTAGCTCCGTCAGGGACCACTTCCTAGCCCTAGACCCTACCACTCTCACTGTCGCCGACTTCGAGAAGCACCTCCTAGCAGCTGAGAAGAACATCCTCGCTGTAGGTGCTGCTCGTGGTACTCCTCACACTCCCCTCTTTGAGGGGTGCCCCCCTCCCCTCTTGCCCCCTCCTACGCCTCCGCAGCTGCTGCTGTCGACCTCCTTGGTGCTGAGAAGGTCGCAGCTGCTTCCGCTCCTAGTGGGAAGTGCAGCGGCTCCAGGGGAGGCAGGGGTGGGAGGGGTGGCGGACGTGGCGGTGGAGGGGGCGGTGGTGGAGGCGGCGGGGGAGGTGGAGGTGGTGGGGGTGGTCGTGGGGGTGGAGGTGGTGGTGGGGGCGGTAGTGGTGCCGGGAGCAGTGGCGGTGGCGGCGGCGGTGGTAGCGGAGGGGGGAGTGGTGGTGGCGGCGGTGGTGGGGGCTTGGGTGAGACCAGTGGTGGCCAGGGGCAGCAGCAGCAGCAGCAGCAGCCGCAGCAGCGCCAGACCCCCACTTCCCAGCAGCTTCATGACTGGTATGCCGGGTGTGGGGCGTCTGGGGGTCCTGGTCGCTGCCTCT